TCCCCCCCCCCCCCCCCACCCCCTCTTTCTCCCATAAATGCGCGTTTTGCCGCTCTCCTCATTTTGAGAATTGGAATGTTTCCTACACTACCCCCTTAGCCGGTGGAAGAGGTATTTAACATAACACAAAAGAGCTCCCGACATCAGATAGGAAATAACTTTTTTGACGCTTAGAGTTTCAGCTTTTCCCTAAGGAGATGTTATCAGCACCTTCTCCCTTCACACGCACACACACACACCCTCCCTCCCTCCCTCTCTCTCTCCTCTTCCGCAAGTGCGTAAAATATTCAAAATGATTCTGAGCACTAGGAAGAAGGATATGAGATCCACCGGTAGATATGGAGAGTGTTTTAAGCTGTTAATAGGCTATGGAAGTCGATTTATTTCAATCCCCTTCTAACCTCTTACCTACTCGAAGACTAATGGTTGAGAGGAATTTCCTAAAAGCGATTTGCGGTTGCCACAACTTCCCTGCTTAATACCTCACTTACTGCCAAAGTCTAAAAAGACTACAGGTGCTGCATGCACAGGTTGGTAACATATGGTCACATCAAGTGCCCACATTTTAACAATTTTTATTCCTCCCCAAAACATTACCATCTAGGCTAACTTGGAGTAGGTAATTAAACAGCAAAAAAAACAGTGAGAAAACTAACTTCAGAATGATACTTTATGTCCTAGTGAGAAGGCAAGAAATGGATAATAATGTGCAAATGAAGTTCCCACATTTCCAAAGTGGAAGGTATTTATTTGACACGCACGGTTAAGACACACCAACCCCACATTAATGACTGTAACTAAGCTGGTTAATTTCTGAAGACCATTAAGCTCCATTATTTCGCATATCTAATTGTGATTCTAATTGATTTTTTGTGTGGATGAATGTCGGCTTATTTCTCCCCATTTTAAGGAGTGCAAAATATCGATTTTCGATAATGTCACCGATTGAAGCCATTGTAAGTAGGAATTAAGTTGTCTTGTTAACTGAATTTCTATGGTTTTGCTCCCAGTTTTCAAACGTCCTAATTTTCCATAGGAAAAAAATTTACAAGAATTTTTAAAATAATGTGCAAATTAGTAATTAATTTAGTATTTATAAGTTGGGTATACAGTTGACAGTTTTAAAGTGCTTTTTTCGTTTAATTAACGGCAAATCATTTCATATTGTGTCCTAATCGAAATAAAACCGGTTACATTGTAATTTAATGTTTTTTTTGTAATTTAATGGGAAAAGAGGAGAGGGGGGAGCTTTCGCTTAAATCTAACTGACCCTAAAGGCGGATAAGCTTATAAATAAATAAGGACTTAGAGTTAGGTTCTCACGGGATCTCTATGGTACTTCTAATCTAATATTCCTCCCCAAAATGTCCTAGGACTAGCGATTAACTAAACACGGGACCTGGTTATTCATCTACTTAATAGAAGATAATTACAAGGTACCTACTTGATCAGCCCAGCAATTACTTAAATATGTTTAAGTAATATCTCATAGCCCAAAATTAGAGATTTATTTACTTATTTTTTCTATATTGACTATTTTAATGCAGAATTAATGATAAAATGTGTTAGCAATCCTGTTCATTAGTTGGTCACTGGACGGGGAAAATCGAATCACCGGTAATTAGACTAATTCGCTACAATTTCTAATTTCAGGTACCATCATGTGGGGCCAGTGGTTTTTTCTCATTGGCCCATTTGATAACATTTATTCCTATGTGAAAAATGAACTTACAGTGAAAGATTTAATTGCCTCTGAATGGATAAGTAGCCGAGCTTTTGTTATTGATCAAGTTCCTGCCCAGAACAAATTAGCGTGTAGTGAAGGCCTAATTTACACCAAATTTGCCTACCCTATTTCAATTACGCAGTTATTTTTCGAGTTGAATTGTGTGTGTCTACCAGGTAATGTTGTAAATAAAGTAGCCACTTCTTTTCCCGATAATGCTGACAGATTCCCGAGTTTAGTCAGAAGCATTACGAAATGGCTCGTTCAACCAGGCAAAGATAAAGCTAAAATGATATTCCTCATAACCTTAGTCATTTGAAAAGTAAATCTAATTGTTGTTGTTGTTGTTTACAATAAGACCTAATTAAATTAATTAGGAACAGAAATATTCATTGTCGTTAATGAAATATGTTTATTGATAATAAGAGTTCGCAACTAAAGTTACCCAGAGGAAACTTACGAATAGGGTCTATTTCTTTGACCTTTCACGATGTAACGATAGAATTGAAATCCATTTTCTTGGAGCCAGCTATTATCCCTCCAGCCTCAAACTTTGTGGCCAAAAAAGCTACTTCTCTGGGCATTATGACTCCTGAATAGCCCTTTTTTCATTGAGTAAACTCGATTCGCACTATCAACAAAGTGGTATAACCCCTAATCCCTGATAATTCTTGGCAAAGTTGTAATTTGAAGCCATTACACGAAATTGGAATTTAGATTAATTGCCTCAACATCATCGCGCTGCTTTTGTGTGGCATTAATTTTCTAATTAACTCTCAACTCACCTCAATCTTGAGTAGTAGTGTTGCACTGAGGGAGAAAGAAGAAAATCACCAGTCTGGAGTAGGAGACCTTAACTGACCCAATTCTCGCAACCACCTAGCCACCACCTTCTGGCAAACCAATCAAATTATATATTTGGATGATGTGGCGCTAGCTTTCTCTATATATCTCACACGGATAGATAGATAGATGAATGCTAACGTGCGTTCATTACCAGTCTCCCCCCTCTTACCCCCGTCCCCTCCCCCACCCCCACCCACCCGCCCACCCTACTACNCCCCCCCGCCCCCCCTTCCTCCTCCTCCTCCCTCTACTCTAAGGCCAGAACACAACAAGCTGCTGATGATATTTGCCACAGTGGGTGGGGGTGGGGGGTGGGAAATACGCGTGTATCCACCTTTAGGGGAGTGAAGGAAGGCTTGGGAGCTGCGTTCAAGTCGCCCATTTGTGCCATTTCTCCATGACTAGCACACGTGTCTATCACACACAACCAAAACTGCTTGTGTCCTTTTAACCACACAAAGCCATCTTGGAAGGAGAGGCGAGAACAGAGGGAATAGCACTCTCGATTCCATTGATTGTGTGCATGTGTGTGTGTGTGTGCGTGCGCGCGAACGTGCCGTACACGTTGTGCCCCGAATGGAGACAGGGAAGATTCTTTGTGAATCATAATTAGTCATCAAAGTCTATTTATTAAGGAGAAACAAATTTGCCAATTACTCCAGTCTAAGGTGTTGGCATTGATCATGAAAATCATCGCCACCTGAGAAGCGGTCATCGAGACAAACTGGAATTCCTCCATCTTTATTTATTAGTCAGAGTTAATCAGTATGGTTAGTCATTAGTGAAGAGGACAAACAAATTTACGCAAGCCTTTGGTAATCAGAAAGCTTTCGTTTCCCACGAAATATGCTTTATAAACGACCAGAGCTACAGACCATGATGAAAATAATACCTTTAAACCTTTATCTGTTCAGCTCTTCATGTCGAATTGCCCCTTCCTCATCCAAGAAGTGCGATTTATGTTTGCGTTGGAATAAATGAACTGTCTCATTTTGTAGGTTTTGGCTGTTGATGGAGCCCCCGAAGCCATTCGATTGACTGGAACCGCCTCCGTGGAGATTGAGCTGACTGACTATAATGACGAACCTCCAAATATCGAGGTGCTGATTCCGCAGAATGGAAATCTTAATAATGGAAACATTGCAAACATCAACGGTGGTATCAACCCCATTCTTTTGCCTGGAAGCAAACATCATGAACACGTCGCTTTCATCGAAGAATCACCATCTCCTGACATTGTCATCGCCTACATCCAGGTATGTGTGGAAGTGATGACTACTATTGCCATTATATAAGTAAGACTAACGACAGGGCTAAAATTTGCAATGAGTTCGATGACGGTTTACGGAAGCGTGG